TGAAGTTACCAGTACAAATGTGCTGAGAGAATTTGCAACTTCAAGTGAAGGAGAATGTAACTCCAAAACTCAAATCTGTTCAACCTCTTGCCATCCAGCACTGAGAATGAAAACAGATGTCACACCTGCCAGCAGGCACTGCCAATCATTTTGCATCATCAGTGTTACGTTTTCCTATCTCCTTTGTAGTCCTGGTGTGTCTGAAGGGCTGTAGGATGATTGTCAACACAGACTAGCTCTGAGTGTCCAACTCTGCTTTTGGTCTTGCAAAACATTTGTTTATGGGATGTTTCTTGTTTATTGATATTTGTCCTTTAGGTCTGTGCTGACATCCCATTGACAGTTTTCTAGAAGTTTTGGTCTAAGTTCTCAATTTCTTGCTAGGTCACACTCAAATCCTTGATCATTATACAGTGCTGGATAGCTTCCATTCTGTAAACCCACTCTGCCTCCAGTATATCGTGATCGTCTATGGTATATGAAGGCTGCATGTGCCTTTTCCTCTCCCTAGCAGTTGAGTTAGTCCAGGAAAGCACCTTCAGTTCAGCTGGAAATGTGACAAGTATGACATAGGAACAGCTGGAAAAACTGTTCCAGAAAAAGTTCCAGAAAAGCCTGCAGACTTTCTGTACAAACTTCACAATTTTGGATTTTGCTTAAATACTGGTATATAGACAGAAAGAGATTCAGTCACTGCCAGTCTGCAGTAGTTATTTACATACAAAATGAGAGATGGCTCCTAAGGATGCTGCATAAAACAGCATGCAAGGCAGACATTTTAAAGAACATCATTAGAGTATTACTTCCAATTGATACCTGTCTTCATTTACACACTCAACGGTATAATTTGCTATGGAAATGACCATGGCATCAATGCTATCTGTAGTTTTCCATGACTCAGGCACCATTAACTTTCTCAACTATACCTTTTCAGTATATATTATCTTTTAGCATTATATAATATCTAGAAGCCTTCACTGCACAGCAATACTAGACCTTCCACTATTTCATGAAGATCACATCAAAACCGTCACAGAAATCAGCCATGGTCTCAGGTACGCTGATAAGCAGTACATCACTTCCGGAGAAGCACTGGTTTGAATTAGGGGATTTGTAAAGAATCAAGGCATCACCCTAGCAAAATTTCAGATCTGTCTAGATAGAACACCTAGCTAGTACACTAAAGATGTGTATCTAGGTCACCTGCTCAACTTTCGAGTACCGCTGTGCGTGTGGGCTGCCCAGCTCTACCTGAGCTGACATGGAATATAGGCAACTGAGTCTTCACCATGTCTGGTGGTTTCTTCCTAGGTTGATCACATTGTCCTTGGGTTTGTATGTGCTCTTTGTACTCTGCAGAGCTGACAGTGATCCATCTCCTCATAGTCTCCTTCTTGGCTTACTCACTGTCCCTTCCATTTCTGTTTGCATGTCCTGAGGTGATGGATGTAGATGTGCTCTGGGAGCTTGATGATCAGCTGGTCGACATGCTGTCAGCACATGTCATTCATATAGTGCCTCCCCTGCCACCCCAAACTCCATTCCCACTCAATCCCAGTTCATACCAGCAGTCAGTGCATCTATTGCAGTTCTTGATAGAAGATGCAGCTAAAGATTTTTGGCCAACAGCTCTGTCTGTTTTGACCACCTGCAGATATTCCTGAAGTCTCAGTTTGTGACCTTTTATAATCAATCTAAACAATCCCAGTTCCCTCAGCTGCTCCTCATAAGACTTGTGCTCCAGACCCTTCACAGCTTTGTTGCCCTTCTTTGGACATGCTCCATGGCCTCGATGTCTTTCCTGTAGAGAAGGGCCCAAAATGGAACATAGTTCTCAAGGTCTGACCTCTCAAGTGGTGAGTACAGAAGGTATGCAGGGTGTGAGTACAGCAACTGGAGTCAGACCGTGAGTCAGAGGTCCTGTGCATTTGTGAAGCAGCAACTGGAGAGACGATAGACAGAAGAGAGAAAAACAAAGCAGCAGCCATTGGGATGGGACCACAGAGTCACACAGTAAGTGACGACTGGTGAAGATCAAGCTGGACCGGCTGTATAGAAAGCCAAGGGGAAGAGCAGAAATACATGTGGGGCTCACTGCTGTAATTTCTCATTTCCTTCCGTTGCTTGAACTTGCAATTTATGCAACTGACCTAAAACTACTGCACAGCAAGACTGCTAGTGTATTAGTTTCTTATAATTTAAACTGATAAGGCTGAGGTGGAGCCTGGGTTGGGCTAGGAAGTTTGAGGAACAACAGGGAAGGCTGTAGAAAACATGCATGGAAATAGTGTTGCACTACATTTTCTCCATGGCATTATCCTACTAAATTAAAAGAAGTTATACAAAGAAGGAATATGCCCTATGGTTACAGTTCTGAACAAAAAGACCTTAAAATACTCATTTTAGATTGGCTATCATGCAGAAATTTTTTTGTAATATTGTCTAGTTCCTATTTTGTCTGCTTTTCTGTGAGGTGAGAATTTTCCGTTCATTTGTTATCAGTGGAATTGTTTTTCCTTCTCCAAGGAGAAAACTGTCATCAAACTAAAGGCTCATGTTTTATTTTTGTCAGTGATGCAAGCAGACTACAAGAGAGATGTAGCATATTGTACCTGTTTTTCTGGAGAAAGTTTTGCTCCCACAGCTGTATGATTTTTAGATGTCAATTAGTTAGTTTAAATTATTTTTGTATATGTAGTAGTTCTGTAGAACTGCTCAATCATTTTGATTGACAGGACTCAGAAATTTTCTCTGTTCAAATGAATTGATCTGAACTCTGCATGATATATATTAGCAATGATGTTTTGACCACGGAACATAAACAACTGTGTACTCTTGACAAAGACTTCTTTTGAATAATATCTTGTTATCTTTAATATCTTTTGCAAGATATCTTGCTGCTGTGTGTGGATTTTGTGGTAGCTGTCTTGCATTCCTCAATGGAAGCCTGTCAGGCTCCCAGACCAGTTCACTGGCTGTTTCGCCGAATACACAGGGTGACTTGGTTATAGCACTTCAAAGTTTTCTGAGTAAGGTAGAAAAGTGAAGCTGAAACAAAATTCTGCACCACTTTTCTTTATAAGAAAAAGGTCTTTCTTCTCAGCATTGTATTTGAAACAAATGTTTATCTGTTATTTATAGTCAGTGTGCTACTATATCGCAACAGTCTGCAGGATCGTTCGTTCCCTGGGCTAATCTTAATCTTCAGTTTACTCTTTCAACTGAATGCTTCTGATGTGAGGCTTCTTGACAGGAAGCATGACCTCATTCTGCCTCTGTGCTTCTGATTGCATGGGCTGTTTTCAAAAGGAAACAAGGGACTTCACAGCCCTGCCCTTCCAAAAACTCAGTGCAGTTCTGCGCCAGGAAGCTGCAGAAAGAGCACCCTACACACACGTCTCAAAGGCTCTGGTGTTGACGAGAAACTTTTTGGCATACATTTTTTCATTGTGAAATGGATTTTCCAGGTTTGGAAGATTTTACATATATTTATCTCTTAGTTGAGAAATGATTAACCTTTGAATTATTGATATTCTGCTCTTCAGGAAGGTTTGCATTTTTTCTGGATGTTGTTATCGTTATTACCTGCATGGAGAAAAGATATGAAAACTCTTCAATAATGACTGATATGTGTAAATAAATAAAAAAAAAAATTTTTGTAGACACTTCTATTTGGTAGATACTATAGAATAAATCTGGTTGCCTGAGGTTCAACTACTGTAATAGTTAGACCTGTATTTTATTACTAATGTAAACATTTACGATTTTTACATGCACAAGTTACTGTTAGCTATCAATTGAGGTTGTCATTGTGTTAAGGATTAACTTAATTTGGGGAGGGAAAGTTCCTGTTTGCACAATGACTTTTTGTTATGACACAGGTTTCCAGGTGTTCTGATATGAAAGAGAGGCTGCGTTAAACTTTGAATTGAATTCTTGTCGTAAAACAGTGCCATGTTCATCTTAAATTCAATTTTATTGAGATTTCTGAGAGTGGTTGGACTTCTCTCATGCCATAGTTAGAATTCTGTATTGATGCTCATTTTGTGTTTTACATATACATCCGATTAAATGTACAGTGGTGGTTCAGAAGCTTTGTTTTGGCTTCCTTATTATTGTTACTGTTGCTTCTCACACTATTAATAGCTGGCAAATGGAGCTGAATCTTAAATGCAACAAGAACACTGTGCAGCATTGTCTGCAACATGATGTTTATAAGTCTTCTCCAGCACTGAATTAAGACTTCCAAGAACCCTCTTCATTAATGCATACGCCAAGAATTGTCGTTAGAGAGTTTGGAGGAGCAATCCGTTGGACTGCCTGTTACATGCCTGTTTATAGAAGCCTGGCCTTACCGTTACTTAAAATAGCTTAAAAGCAAATTACAACAGCTCAGAAACTTCTTAGAAAGAGAGAAATTCATCATCTCTCCAATAATATATTTATATATGTGGAGATCTCACTTCCCATTTTAACATATGTACATACTCTGTTTTATCTGAATTATTACTTCAGATAAACAAGCGCCCTGTGGAGACAGACCTGACGTACCTCACGACTTCATGAGGCACTTGTACTAGCAGCAGATGGACTGTAGTTTGTTCTGGCACTTTATTCAATACTTTTTAATGACAGCACTGTCCATATGTAAGCCACTATTCTGAAGAGTTGGTCTTTGTTAGTGGTTGCTGCTTTGCAATAGCATAACCAGAGGAGTAAAGTGCAATACAGTGACGACACAAGTTTCAATAGCTAGAAAGAAGTTGAACTCTCAGATTGTTAAAGAACTGAAATAGATTTGATTGATGCAGAGGTATTCCTTCCCACTCCTTTTCAAACAAATTTGCACTAGAGCCAATCACTTTTGTCTAACCTATAACATTCAGTGGTGTATTGTAACTAATACTGTGTTATATATTCATGTTAATACTTGACACTTCCTGATTTTAAAATGTTGCAAAATCAATCATAACTCCCTCTTTTTTTAAACTCTTTCACAGGCAAACCACACTGCCTATTGTTCCCGAGTGTATGAACCAGTCCTTTTCAAGATGTATGGAATGTCACATGTTACAGCAACACCACGAGGAAGTAAATTTGTGCACATTTGTCTGGGCTTTTGATAAAAACACTTTGGTGTGGAAGGATTGTGGGTGGCTGACAAAACTTGGGGTTAGATCTGCTAACCTAAACACCTGTTGAGTTTTTCCTGCATTCTCATTTAGTGTTCAGATAAACCTCTTTTTTTGAGTGTAATACTTTGCATAATTGAAAGTCATGATTGTATGCATGATACTGTATGCCTACAGTAAGAAAAAATCTTTCAGGAGCTAATTGTGTATGAAACATAGGTCTACAACATGTCAGTCAGGGAAACATGCAATGCCTACCTTTTGGGCAGTTTGTTGTGTGACATTCTGGCTGATGCTGCTTGACATCTTGTACCTCCACTCCAGATTGTTTTTGCCTGGAGAAAAATATAGAGCGTGTTGGTTTTTTTTCCCACTAGAAAGTGAAATATGTACTTTTGGAATGTTAGAGAAACAGTATGCATGGGAATAGCATACTGGGACTACCAAAGGGGGAATGCTGACCTTTATGCATTTTTTTTGCCTCAGCTCGTACTTCAACGTTAAAAAAAATCCTGTCATTCATCTATCTTCTCTCACAGGGGAATGACAGGCATTTACTAATAGCATGATGCTCTAAAGATACCAGAGAGATAAGGAAAGATTGTGTCATCTATAATTTTATGTAGCAACAGATATAAATCTGTTATAAATATATATAGATATATCCCTCTGCTTAGCCATTGCTCATATTTTGTAAGATTGACTCTGACAGCTGCTGAACATCTGGCAGCATTTTGCAAACTTGAGCCGTGGTAATCCAGACAAATCCTATTTATTTCCTTAGTTTCCTGCCACAAAGTTAGTGTCAATTTTTGTCACTGTCTCTATCCCTATGCCTATTGTGGCATGTCAGCAAATTTTGTCTGAAAAAATGACAAAATGAAATGCCTTACTGATAATGGTGGTCCTTCCATTCCTCTCTGTAGCTATAACAAGTATGTGCACTATTTTCAGCATGAACCAGACTTCTGGGCAAACACCATTCAAATTACTGTAGCTATTGCTTTTGTACCAATAATTATATACCCCAAAGTAATAACCTGCACGGATATTTGACTATAGCCAGCTCTGATTCTGTGCTGTCCTGACTGAGGTGATGCTAAACAGTCCTGCCAGAGTCAGTGTCTTTCCTCCATCCTTTTATTTTTCTCTTCCTATGTTTTTGTTTAGCTTATTCATGGTCTTTTGATTTCCACAAGGTGCCTGTCAATGAAGACCTGTCAACTGGGGAAGTTGTCAGTAAATATGATAATGACTCTTTCTTATTTGGCCTCTGTAGGTTCAACAGTGCTTGATGGAGAACACAAGCACAGCCTCTCGGAACATATTTATCAGAGGTATTGATGAAAATTATACTTGTTTAATATTACTTTTATTTCAGTTGAGGTTTTATAGAGTTTCTAGAGATGAAACTAGTTTATGAAGTACTTCCATGGAGAGTTAAAAGCACTAGCTTTGCAATTATGAGGTTTTGGAATATCTCTCTTCCATGTTCCCTCCCCCCTTACTGAAATCATGGTACCCTTTCATGAGATGTTGTATGGGATTCTGAAACCTGCTACTGAAACCCAATTTCAAACACTGTATCAATCCACAGTCTTCCTAGTTTTTTGTGAATATCACTGAACTCAAAGCTGTTGAGAAGAAAGAAGACATCAGAAGTGATTACTTGATTGTAACAGTAGCTCCAGAGCAAAATACTGGAATACTTGTGAGGACACCATGCTGGGGTAGGTGTGGCAGATCTCCTTGGAGAAAAGCACTGCCGCAGAAATGCACCATGCACTTCTCAAGCCAAGCTGCCATAGTGCATTCATGAAAATGCTGCACCTGTTGTGAAACCCTCCTGTAGTCTGATGCTCTGGAAAGTGTGATGCAGACACACTATGGTTGGCTGAATACCTCCTAGGCATTATCTGCATATTTTAAATCCATGTCACTGCCAGCTCCCGTTAACTGAGTCAATGACATGTGTACATTTATTATCATGAAATCATGGTCTTGTACTGTTTAGACATTCTCTGATCAGACGTTTTTCCTTCTCTCCTCCTCAGTTATGCTTGCACGTTTCTCGATGATGGCACTGCCCACAGGTGCTGCTCCACAAGCCCTTTGGGAGGCTCCCTCTTCACATGTCGCCGCAGCCCTCGGCTGCTTTCCAATGGTTATTACATTTTGACAGAAGACAGCTTTCTGTCTGATGAAGATGGCAACATAACACTGTCACCATCCCAGACAAGTGTTACCTATAAAGAGAACTCAGTTCGGTAAGCAAACTACATGCAGATTTTACTCCATGCTGGTGATAGGCTCAATATCTCTGGACTTATCGGAAGATACTTTCATGGCTGCCTGCATTTAGCTTGGCTTAAGATAATTTCTTATTTGGCTTAAGATAATTTCTTACTTTTTCTTTATTTGTGTATATCATAAAAAACATATAATTGCATAGGTTGGAAGAGACCTTATAGATAACTTACTTTTAACCTCCTGCCATGGGCAGGGTTGCCACCCACCAGACCAGGCTGCCCAAGGCCCCATTCAGCCTGGCACTGAAACGCCTCCAGCAATGGGGCATACAGAACTTTTTTTGGGCAACCTGTTCCAGTGCCTCACCACTCTCTGAGTAAATAATTTCTTCCTACCGTCTAGCTAGATGTCCCCTCTTTTAGTTCAAAGCCATTTCCCCTTGTCCTATCACTATCAGATCATGTGAAAAATAGGTCTCCCTCCTGCTTGTAAGTTCCCTTCAAATACTGGAAGGTTGCAATGAGGTCTCCCGAGAGCCTTCTCTTCTCCAAGCTAAACATGCTCATCTCTCTCAACCTTTCTTTATAGAAGAGGTGCTCCAGCCCTCTGATCATCTTTGTGGCTTTCTTCTGGTCCCATCCCAACAGTTCCACATTCTTCCTGTGTTCAGGGAGTTGTCTCTTTGTAAGAATATCTAAACTGATTTAATTTTTAATTAAAATCTCTTGATTTGCAGTCATACTACCCCAAAACTGTACAGTACACAGTTGCTATAATTGGAGTTGAAAATGAGAGCTACAACTCATTTTGCCAATGGGATGTTATCAAGATAAGGAATAAAAATATAAGTGTTAAAAGAAAAGTCTGGACCTGCCATTCTTTGTTGGGGAAAACTTTCTCCTTGATTCAGAAAAAGCATTGGTTTAGGATGGGATATAAGATATTGTTCAAAAAAGTACAAGAACAGTGGATCCAGGCTATATCACTTTAGTATATGGTAGGATGAAAATTGTGGGGAGTGTAAGACCCAATACTCAGAGCAGTATTAAAGTCTGTCAAATGAGGTATCATTTGGCACCACAATATGAAGCATGACAATATCCTGATGCATTACTGTGCTGTTATTACATCCCCTGACATTACTGCAGTGTGCAGCAGTGAACCGTGGTGGTATAGCCAGGTCCACAGCAGAGCTGGGAACAGTACCGAGAATCTGGTTCTTCCATTTCAGTTCTACAAGCTTTTGAGCTCTGCTCCTGCTTCTTAAGAAGAAGTAAGTCTATCCCTCGGCAATGAGCCTTTTCTTTCTAGGATATTCCGTCGCAGGAAGAAAATGCGAGGCTCTCTTGCCAGTTTGTTCAGTTTCAGTGCCTCCAGCCAGTGGCTCAGCAGCACCATTCTCAACACTATGGATTCCTCCCATGTAGACGATCCTTGGCCTGACAAATGCAGTGAACTACAGCCCAGTCAGACTGATACTGGTAAGCTCTGACCATGTACAAAGTAATCTAGCCACATTACAATCTGTATTTAGCAGGAAGTTATATCTCCTCTACTTTTTATTTGGATTGTCTGCCAAAATGTGCAGGTAAAGGATACATGAGCAATCAAATTACGGTGAACTGAGCTCCTGGCATTAAAATTCAGAGACTGTGATTCCATAAGGACTTTTGTGGCAAAAGGGCATTTATAGACTGAGTTTGAACACAACGACATCACCAGTGACATTTGCCCTGCAGTCATTAATATCTGGCTAAGGCTGCTTTCACCTGGTTATTTTAATATCATTGTGTTATGCTCTATGTAGTTCTGTCTTTGCTCTGCTTACTCTCTCCTGCATACATTGAATTTGCCATTCCTGCTCCTAACAATTTGAAAACCTTCCTACAATTGTTGCTGTTTTGGTTTGGTTTTGTTTGTTTGTTTCATAAAATCTATTACCACAAATTCTCAAAGCTCATCCTTTGTGAAGTCTCATTTATATATCCACTTTTTATAGACAACTCAGACCTTTCTTGTGAATATAACATCTTAGTGCCACAAGGGCAAATTCCAGCATCTATTGGAGCCTCTCTTACCAAAGATGAGGAGTTTATTGAGCCTGGGAAATCACTGTGTGCCTCTCCATTTATAATAAATGAAAATAAAGATACACTGAACAAAGCAGGTATGTTAGATTCTTATCCTGATAAACTTCATTTTTAGAGTGAAGCAGAAATATTCACATTAAAAATGCTGATGTCCATCATAAAAATGCAAATGTACATTAAAAAATAAATTAAATGACTACTTAAAAATAATGAAATCTTAAGATTGGTATTTACTTGTTCATTTCTCCCTACTTCCTTTTTCTCTCCTATTTTCAGCAATAAACATAAAAAGAAAAATGCAGAGAGAAGAGGAAAATGGAGGAAAGGGCATGAGAACAAAACATGAAAAAGGCAATTATTCAGAAGTGCTTGTTTTCTGCAAGCGGTGAAGGGCACAGAGTCTCTATGGCTGTGGGGGAAAAAGACTCCTGGGAGACACCCAGAGCATGAAAATTAGGTTTCTGCTTTAAGCCAGTCTAGGTGAATCCTCATAAAAACAGAGAGAAACTGCTAGCCTCATGGGCTAAGGGTAGTCTTTACTAACACCTTCTGTCATGTATTTACTTTCTTGAAAATTCATGAGAATTGTTTTCCTTATTTTTCTTTCAGAATCCAATTCAGTGCCAAATTTTCTGGCTCAGATTGCTGCACTGATGGTGTGTTTAATCATTTCAGTATGTACAAGGTAATCCTTTTTAACTTTGTTGCTTTTTATATTAATGCTCGTTGTGTTTCACCTGGTGAACAAAACACAAATTAGTCAATTTTGCAAAGAGATATATCTTATGTTATCATACTTTCACAATTGTCAATGCAGGCAAATATCTCAGCTGTATGAGTATGAGCAAAAATAAGAAATATGTTGCAGATGCCTACTTTGTCAAACATGTTTTTGACAAGAGTTGTGGAAGCCTGAGGAGAATCAGAATAGATCTGTATCTTTCCAGGTGACTAATAGGAGTGTTTCTCTCAGGCTGGCAATGTTGATATCCTTATTTCTAGGTGGTTTTCCTCAATAGCTCAAGTAACTTAAGGTTTCACACTGCTGTTCACCTAGAAGAGGTCAGTTGGTTATCTGCAAAAGCGTCCTCCTTCACCCAGTCATCTGTTTATGCATCCCCTGCTTTTCTCTAAACTTTATTGTTATGTTCACAGGTGTTTTCTGGGAGGATTTTCTGCCATTTTGTTGTTGATAATTTTAGTCTGTAAGTACAGACCTTCTTTACATTCGATACATCTTTTGCTGAGTGATGTCTGTGGACAAAAATCTTTCCTTATATAAAAATCCATGGCTCTTATTGATCCTGATAAGATCAATATGTGGGCATATGGGGACAGAATGTAGCCTTCAATCAATTACAGGATTTTGCATTTAAACTTCACAGTTCTTGTATCCCAAGATGCTGCTCTGTCATCTTTCTTCAGTCTTGTCACATCTTTCAAAACAACTAAGTTTGGTAAGTAGCACTAATGTGATGAATAATGTAATTTAGAAATTTTATACTGAGAGAAAGGAGAGCCTCCTTCTGTTGTTTTCATGGCAAAAGATAGAAGGCATAATCTGATATTATTGATGCAGATTTGGCTTTTTGTGTTACTGATTTGTATTCATAGAAACTTTCTATTTACTTTGAAAAACTGAGTTTTAATGATGTGCAATAAGTGTTGTAACAGTTCACAGAAAATCACAGAATCACAGAATCACCCGGGTTGGAAGGGACCTCAAGGATCATGTAGTTCCAACCCCCCTGCCTAGCAGGGCCACCAAACGTACACATTAAGATCAGGTTGCCCAGGACCCCGTCCAACCTGGCCTTGAACACGTCCAAGGACGGGGCATCCACAACCTCCCTGGGCAGCCCGTTCCAGGGCCTAACCACTCTCCTTGTAAAGAACTTCCCCCTAACATCCAACCTAAATCTTACCTCCCTCAACTTGGATCCATTTCCCCTAGTCCTGCTGTTGTCAGCCCTTTTGAAGAGTTTACTCCCCTCCTGGGTGTAGGTTCCCTTCAGGTATTGATAGGCTGCAATGAGGTCACCCCGCAGCCTTCTCTTCTCCAGGCTGAACAAGCCCAACTCCCTCAGCCTGTCCTCATAGGGGAGGTGCTCCAGCCCCCTGATCATCTTAGTCGCCCTCCTCTGGACCCTTTCCAAGATCTCAATGTCTTTCTTGTACTGAGGGCTCCAGACCTGGACACAGTACTCCAGATGGGGCCTCACAAGAGCCGAGTAGAGAGGGACAATCACCTCCCTCTCCCTGCTGACCACCCCTCTCCTGATGGAGCCCAGGATCCCATTTGCCTTTCGAGCTGCCAGAGCGCACTGCTGGCTCATGTTCAGTCTCTCGTCCATCAGGACCCCGAGGTCCTTCTCTGCCGAGCTGCTCTCAAGGCCCACTCCTCCCAGCCTGTACGGGTGCCTGGGGTTCTTCCGGCCCAAATGCAAAACCTTGCACTTTGCCGTGTTGAACCTCATTAGGTTCACCCGAGTCCAGCCCTCCAGCCTGTCGAGGTCCCTCTGAATGGCATCCCTTCCTTCCACCGTATCAACCGCACCACTCAGCTTGGTGTCGTCAGCAAACTTGCTGAGGGTGCACTCAATTCCCTCATCGATGTCATTAATAAAGATGTTAAAGAGCACCGGTCCCAAGACAGACCCTTGGGGGACACCACTTGTTACCGGCCTCCACCTGGACATAGAGCCATTGACCACCACCCTCTGTCTGTGGCCTTTCAACCATTTGCTTATCCATCGGGTCATCCACTCATCAAATCCACTTCCCTCCAATTTGGAGATGAGGATGTGGTGGGGGACCATGTCAAAGGCCTTGCTCAGGTCCAGGTAAATGACATCGGTCGCCTTCCCTTCGTCCACCAATGCCGTCACTCCATCATAGAAGGCCACAAGATTAGTCAGGCATGACCTTCCTTTGGTGAAGCCGTGTTGGCTGTCTCGGATCACATGCTCATTCTTTATGTGATCGAGCATGTTGTCCAGGAGGATCTGTTCCATGATCTTCCCAGGCACGGAGGTGAGACTCACCGGCCTGTAATTCCCTGGGTCCTCCCTGCTCCCCTTCTTGTATATGGGAGTGAAGTGACCCTTCCTCCAGTTGTCCGGGACCTCAACTGACAGCCACGACTTCTCAAATATGATGGAGAGCGGCTCGGCAACCACCTCAGCCAGCTCCTTCAGGACCCTGGGATGCACGCCATCCGGCCCCATAGACTTGTATTCATTCAGTCTAAGGAGGTACTCTCTGACTTGCTCTGCCCTTACAGTGGGGAGGGATTTACCTCCTTGGTCCCCACATAGAGGTTTGGGGATGCAGGGCTCAGGGACGTGAAAAAGACTAGAATCCTGGCCACCAGTGAAGACCGAGGTGAAGAACTCATTCAGCACCTCAGCTTTCTCTTCATTGAAGCCAGTTCTCCTTTTAAATTTACCAAAGTAGGTACGCCCTTTTTGGCCTGTCTCTTCTGGCCAATGTACCTGTAGAAGGTTTTCTTATTGTTTTTCACGTCCCTTGCCAAGTTCAGTTCTGCCTGTGCCTTGGCTTCCATGATCTCACATCTGCAAGTCCGGACGGCATCCCTGTACTCTTCCCAGGTGACACAGCCTTGTTTCCAGAGCTTGTACACCCCTTTCTTCGCCCTCAGTTCTCTCAGCAGGTCCTTGCTGAGCCATGCCGGTTTCCTACCTCGCCTGCCCACTTTCTTATTCAGAGGAATGGAGACCTCTTGTGCTTCCAGGAGGGCATCCTTGAAGAGCAGCCAGCTCTCCTCAACATGCTTGTCTTTGAGGGAAGCGCGCCAGGGGATCTTGGCCAGCAATCCATTGAGTAGCTTGAAGTCTGCTTTTCTAAAGTTCAGTGTCCTGATCCTGCTCTTTGCCAAGCCCACATCGCTTGAGATCACAAACTCAACCAGGGCATGGTCGCTGGAGCCCAGGCAGCCTCCAACCTTGACGCCTTTGATGATCTCCTCGGCGTTGGTGAGCAGCAGGTCTAGCAATGCTTTTCACCTCTGGTCAGTCTGTCCAATACCTGAACCAGAAAGCTATCGTCAATGGATTCCAAGAGCCTTCTGGAGCTCTTGCAGCTTGCCGTGTGGTTTTCCCAGCAGATGTCCGGATGGTTGAAGTCCCCCACCAGGACAAGAGCCCATGAGCCAGACATCTCACGCATCTGGAGCAAGAAAGCCTCGTCAACAGCCTCCCCTTGATCAGGTGGTCTGTAGTATACCCCTAACACCAGCTGACCTATATTAGTCCCACCTCTAATCCTAACCCACAGGCTCTCAACCTGTTCCTGACTGTTTCTCGTATGGAGCTCCTCACAGTTTATCCAATCTCTGACATAGAGAGCAACTCCCCCACCCCTCCTACCTCGCCTATCTCTCCTAAAGAGTCTATAGCCGTCGATGGCAGTATCCCAATTGTGGGAGTCATCCCACCATGTTTCGGTGATAGCAACAAGGTCATAACTTTCCGAATGCATCACAGTTTCCAGTTCCTCCTGCTTGTTACTCAGGCTGTGTGCATTGGTATAAAGGCACTTCAGACGGGCTATCCGTCTCGCCACCTTTATAAGGGATCTAGGATCCCCTAGAACAGCAGCATCCCCAGCATCCCCCTGCCCTAGTCCTTCCCTATGCACTCTGCCGTCATTGCCCATGGAGTTTGGTACAAGCCCTCGAATGACCCGTTCAACCTCAGTAGCCCTTATTTTGTCCCCTTCCCCCTTCATTCCTAGTTTAAAGACCTGTCAATGAGTCCCGCTAATTCTTCAGCTAAGATCCTCTTACCCCTCAGGGACAGGCTGCATGCATCAGCAGCCATCATGCCAGGTGCAGTGTAAATTGCCCCATGGTCAAAAAAGCCGAAATTCTTGCCTCTGCGCCAGCTCTTAAGCCATATATTTAAGAGTTGGGTATTTTGGATCCTCCCTGTACCTTTCCCTGACACCACGGGCATAGAAGAAAAGACCACCTGCACCCCAGCTCCTTCAAGTATTCGCCCCATTCCCCTGAAGTCTTTCTTGATAGACCTCAGGCTTTCCTTATCAACTCCCTCGCCGCCAGCCTGAATTATTAAAAGTGGGTAATAATCTAAAGGCTGAATCAACCCAGGAATTTTCTTTGAAATGTCCCTGACCCGTGCCCCAGGAAGGCAGCACACCTCTCTGCGGGTAGGTGTCTCCAGATATCAGCCTTTCATCCAATCTGCACAACTTTTTGCTATGAAATCGGACTTTGTCACATTAGCATTAAGGTTGTATTTACTTTCTGACCTCTTTATTTGGGAGGCCAAAGAAGAATTCTCGGTCAAAGCGTCCAGGTCTTCGTAACGCTGGATCGATGGCATCCAGTCTGTTGGTGGCACCAATGACAACCACCTCCCCTCTGCTGTCCAACCCATCCATGAGTGCCAGAAGCGTTGATACGATGGAGCTGATAGAAAAAATACAATTTTTATTCACCGGTTCAGTAAGTTTTGATACAATCCACATGACTTAGTGTTGTGTTCAGCTCTGGGCACCTCAATACAGAAAGGACACTGAGCTTGCTGAAACAGGTCTAAAGAAAGCCAAGTAGGCTTGTGAAGGGCTTGGAGAATATGGCCTATGAGAAGCTAGTTAAAGAAACTGGGGCCATTTAGCCTGCGGAAGAGGAGGTTGAGTGGAGACCTTATGGCTCTTCTCCAATACCCAAAAGGTGATTGCAGTGAGTGGGGTTGGCCTCTTCTCACTGGTGGCAGGTGACAGGATGAGGGGAAATGGCCTCGAGTTGCAGCAGGGGAGGTTTAGGTTGCATATCTTTACTGAAAGGGTTGTAAAGCGCTGGAATAGGCTCCCTAGGGAGGTGCTGAGTCTCCATCCCTGAACGTGTTTAAAAACCATTTGAATGTGGTCACCAGTGAACAAGGAGCGCTGACAGATGATGGAAAGCGGCTCGGCTATCACCTCCGCCAGTTCCCTCAGCACTCTGGGGTGGATCTGGTCCTTCTTCAGTGCAAGCCCGCGCCGCCCGCCCGCTTCCTCCGCTCACGGCCGCGCCGCCATCCTGCTTCTCACAAACTACTGCACTTCTTTTGGGGCGGGGGGGCGGCGGCCGAGCCGGGAACTCCCAACGCCGCCCGGGCCGTCGCCTCGCCGCCGCCCGCGGCGCGCACTCGCATCCTCCCGGCGCCTCGCTGCCCCGGGGCGGCCGCGCGGGGAGGACGGGCAGCGGCGGCCGTGCCTCTGCCTCCCTCGCAGGGAGCGGGGGCGGAGGCCGGTCCGGGCCCGCGGCGGTGCCCGCTAAGTTAGCGCCCGCCTGTCAGCTTCTTCCACTCGCGGCTTTCCGCACGTGCCCGGCCCTGAGCGACGGCGGCGCGGCGCGGTCCCGAGCCGCCGTGCCGCGGGCGGGGGAAGAGGCGACCCGCACAGCCCCGTGCTCTGGCTAGAGGTGGAACTTGGACATCTTTCTCCAGCCGTCTCGGACACGTCGCTGTTAGCTGCCACCGAGATACTTTGCAACGCACCGTGCTTACATAGTGTGTAGGCTGCTCCGAAAGTCATGCGCCCGCTGCTTTCCTTGGAAACGACAGCAATCGCAAAGAGCACAGTAACACCGGAGGACAGAGCAAACGCTCAGCTAAGAAATGCTATTTTTCAACAGCCACACCATCAGCTATGTATTTTTGCCAGCAGTGAACGGCTGCACGCTGCGCTCACAGAGATGTGCACTACTGGAGCTCACCTGCTGTTTCTCAGCGTTTCACCAGCCACCACCTCCCTGTGCTCACATCCCATTTTGGTGTCCGTAAGCATTCAGCAAGCATCCATGCATGTCAGTGCCATTTCTTCCACGTGGAGGAATTCAATTCCACACCTTTACTTCAGACAGACTTCCGTATCAGACACCATTCTGTCGGATTGCCCCTCTGCTGCCATCTGCCACACGACAAAATGTAACACAGCAGTGGTGGGCAGGTTCAACTGCTGTAGCACCTCTGACCGTGTCGGCCAATGTTATAACTTAGGAGGCATGACTTCCGGAGCAGCCTTTCCATTTCCTCCATCACTATTGGCAGCTTTGGCTCAGACCCTACTTGTGATTGATTCCCAAAAGAGAACAAGCAGAAAGTGGCTCGTGGGAACCGCTTACAGTAACAGGGAACAACTCATGGCACAGTGAGGCTTCTGAGTTTCTAAAACTGTAGAAGTGTGCTTTGTTATAGAGATGAACAACAGGAGATGTTTGCGCACAGCCTGAAGATCCAGTTTGTGTGAGAGGAATGCTCCTGGTTCTTCCTTTCCAGTCACTCCTTGTAAGGATGAAATCTTTGAGCTGCCATGCAGAGAGCTGACTGCATACGATTGTATGGTGATAAGGGATGAGGAGAACCTGGGAAGCACAAGAGTGCGTTGTATGCAGCTCAGAAACTCTTACAGAAAAGACTGGGGATTTCTCCGCTCCATCTCCATGACAAAGACATTTCCAACAAAGTCACTCAGAGAATGAGCTCAGCAAACCCCATGCACACCCCAAACAAATCTGTGATACTCACCAAGTTGCAGAACAAGTAATATACATGAACGTGTGAATTCTGAATGCACGCTTTTCTCCCTCCTGCCTTCGCTATTGCTGCATAAGCAATATAGCATAAACAAGGTAAGCTACTCCCATAAAGCACTTCTTTTAAAGTCTTCAGACTCATACTGTTTTTTAAGATTTTTAATGAATAGAAAGAAACAAATGGACATTCATTTCTCATTAATACTCATCCAAACAATACAGAGGAAAAAAATCCCACATAGATTAGAAGTGTTGGCACACAATAGAAAGAAACAAGAAAACACACTTCAGAAAGCACACTTGGGGATTGCACAGTTAGGTATTTGGTGACATACCAGCAACAGACACTGCTACATATTTCATCACGATACAATTGTTTTTTGGAAACAAAACCTTCCCCCATCTTACGTTAATTTAAAAAGTTGTCACATTAATTTTCTCCACTGGTTTGAAGAGGAATTGACCTCTAAAACAGAGTCTTGCTCTGATATTTCTTACATGTATTTTTGGTGAAATGCAGTTGATTTTTAAGAAATAGACAAATAGATTCTCTCTTCGTCACTAAGAAAATTATTTACAAATTTAATTCAACTAATAATTTACATTAAATTAGTAAATATTAAAAATACTATTTTCCAGTATAAAGATTGTCACTGTTAGAAGCAAGACCAAGCATCGTGTTAGGAAGTTTCAATACCAAGCCTGGCTTTGCCTCTCAAGCTGGGATTTTAAGTGTTGAAAATATGCCATAGCAAAAAATCTTTGTGGCAACGTTTTCTCCCAGACTGTCTTTCTGTTGTTAATTCCAGGAAAGCCACCTGAGATGCTATCAGGCAATTTAAAAAAACAAAACCAAAAAAGTCTCTGAACTGCACTAAGAGTTTTCTAAAGGCATTGGATTTCACATGTCAGAATCAGACTTGTTTTAAAACCCTCACATACCGTGCTGTACAATATACATCACCAGAGATTTCTGCAGAGAAAAATATGTATCTGAGAAAGGATGAGATAGGCTTATCCATTTATCCATCCTTTTCTTTTAAGAAGAGGCACTGGGAACACCTGGAAGACATTCACATCTACATTGTGACAAAGGCACTGACTGCAGTACTTCCCAAACCACACAACACGAGGTTAAGGTGCTGTGCATTGCAGAGGACAGCTGAGCGCACTGATCTCAGAAGACCGTACTCCTCCTGTCTGAGTTCGCTATTCATCACCAAATATCAACAAATACAGGGAAAGAATACAAAATAAAAACACTTAGAAGGACTTTCTGAACATTAAAAATATACGTTAAGATAAACTTGTTCTATCTACATAAAGTACTGAATGACACACAACAGTAACAGAAGAACATCCAACGAAAACAACTTTGCAGAACAGCAATCAAGGATGTCACAGATCACATTCGTGCTAAGGCTTCAAATTCTTTCTTCATTACCTAAGAAAAAAAACAACAAAAATGTCAGTAAGCAGAAATAAAACTGATCAACATTTTCTACTTTTCCACAAAATGAATAAAGAATTCATAATGACACTCAATTGTTAGTCACAGCTAATAAACAGTGTGCTGCCTCTCTCACAATGCCTTGTTATCCCCTTTAGCTTCAGATACATCCTCATGCATCCAACCTGGAGATTACCACGTAGAGACTCTATGGATCTATACCATAGAATCACAGAATGGCCAGGGTTGGAAGGGACCTCAAGGATCATGAATCTCCAACCCCCCTTGCACAGGCAGGGCCGCCAACCTCCCCATTCAATACCAGACCAGGCTGCCCAGGACCCCAACCAATCTGGCCTTGAACACCTCCAGGGACGGGGCATCCACAGCCTCTCTGGGCAGCCTGTTCCAGCACCTCAGCACTCTTTTGGTAAAGGACTTACCCCTGACATCCAACCTCAATCTTTCCCCCCCTCAACTTGAAACCATTTCCCCTTGACCTGCTATTATCTACCCTTTCAAAGAGTTGACCCCTCTCCACCCCCATTTGTAGGCTCCCTTTAGGTACAGAAAGGCTGCACTGAGGTCATCCTACAGCTTTCTCTTCTCCAGGCTGAAATACATCAACAAGGAAAAGGTAGAAAATACACTGAAAGAAAATGGCTTGCTTGAAGTATTACAAGTTAAGTAACAAAGGCTCTCAAGCCCTGAAATAAAATAAATCCCTTAAATAAATCCCTTCTCAAGCTAAAACATATTGTTATCCTAGCTGCGAGAAGGGTGCAGCTTTTCCAAGGGTGGCTTCCCTTAATCCAAACACTGTTGACTCTCCCAGTCAGAACAGAGCATCTGTTATAACTCTTCATCAGATGTGGAAGAAGAGATAGAGATGGTTGGTGCCTAAACAAAGAGGCTTCCTCTTTCCAAGGCAGACTGAGAGGCATAAAGAATTTCATCTGTTCTCAGGCACAAGCAACTCAAAGACAAATGGGTTCAAGGATCCTAAGTCTAAAGACTGAATAACCATCACATCCAAATTGAGGCAATACTGGGAATGCCTGACTTGGACCAAGGTGCCTCAGGAAGATTTCTGTTGAGTTCTGACAACTCCAAAATCCTCTCTTACAGGAAGAGATCAGAGAGCTGGACCCGTTAGTGTACAACTGGCACAGGCAGAAATCTCCCTTTGCATCCAATTACAGATGCTCAAGCACACTGGTTAGAAATTGAGACTTTTCTCTAGTCTCACTAGAATCTCTCCTGTTAATGTTTCATACTTTAATTGCTCTTAAGGGTGGAACGTCTACCCTTAAGTCAGTTCTCAAGAAAAGCTACTGACAGATTAATGCTAACTGCTTGGAAAGGGCCGTGTGGGTGACTCGTTGTCTTCAAGTTCAAGCTTTTTCCTGCTGAAACCACCAATTATGCCAAATCTAACAATGGTTTTGCAATATGGATAAGTGCCTCCCAGACTGAAATGACAAAGTCTTACTTTGGTTTTTGTCTTTGCACAGGCAACAAAACAGTGAAGAGTAATGCTAAAGCAGCACGATATCCAGAACGCACGTACACTGCATACCAGTGATAGAACATGCTATGAGACAAAAATTACCTTCAGTAATTTGGTTTTGTCATAATCGTCTCGATGTTGATAAATACACTGGCAAATTTTAGCGTATAATTTTTCAAAATAGAATATATCAGCCTCCTTTGTTAGATCAGTGACCATATCCAGCAGTTGCTGAGGAAAAAAAAATGGGAAAAATACAAGTTTAGAATAGCAAAAGATCCTTGGCTCTTTTGTTTTTGCAAGTTTAGCAGTAACATTAATAAGTAACAGTACTGGCAGGTTGTCATTGGGCTGCTTTAAGGTAAAAGGGCTGGTTGAATTTTAACACTGAGGTGGAAAAACTGCCTCCTAAGACAATGCTTACCAGAAGTAAAAACAGCAACCTACAGAAATCTGCAGCAGCTGTAGGTGTGGAAACACATCAATCACAGCCCACGGTAGGTTGATTTGTGCTATATATCCCTGCCGTTAACTGTGTAAATTGGCACTGGTTAACAACTGCCTCAATTGATAACTGCACATAAAGCAAAAATATGTCCTGTTTCACAATTTAAACAAAGCTGAACTTAGACGTACTTTGAGCTCACAGTAATCCACCAGCACTACAACAGGTGACTCTGTCATGATGTCCGTCACTTTTTCAGCACTCGTGTGCCTCTGTTTGGTCTGAGAACATCTTGCACGAGTCACGGGAATTACACAAGGATCTGGAATGACACAAATTTCCTCTGTCACGTTTTCTGTTGATCTGGAATACTGTGTCCATGAAGCATCCTGTGCTGGGATGCAATCTCCCTCTACAAATACAGACACAGCACTGTTACAACTCCTTCACTGAGCAACGCTTGGCTTCTATTTTCTTTCCAGCTAAAGTCAGTCCTCTGCCAAAATGAGAAATTCAGAGCAAAAAGAGCACTAGAGAATACAGAAGGATAAAAGAGGGAAAAGAAACAGTCATGTTGCCATTACAACACCTCATGCTACTCCAAAAATAATTCAAGTTAGGAAATATCTTACATCGCAAACATGAGGATGCAAGTCTTCTACCCCACATGCTACTCTGGATCCACACAGCTTCAAGTGCATTTTTTTAACCTGACACTGCTCATTATTGGAAAGTTCCTCGTACAACAAAAGAATGTCAACAAATGCTCTGTTTCAGTTCGGTAACATTAGAAAGACAGATCTTAGGAAAAAAAGAGCAGCTACACAAAAACGTGAGCTTGGCTTACATCATTACATGGGCAACATTGCTATTGAAGAAACTGCTGATTCTCTGGAGATGTCACACAAATAATAGAATGAATTCAAAGGCTAATAATAAATAATACAATCCTCCTTAGACGGAATGTGGAACTAAATGTTCTGTTGGACATTTCACTTACCATTTGCCTCTTGCTTTTCAGAGAAGTCTGGTTTTTGGCAAACACCACTTTCCCTTCTCAGGTCTGAGTGTCCAGGCAGCCCGACACTCTCCTTTTCACCAGCAGATGTATCCATATCAAAAAGCCCCCCCCCTCTCTCCTTTTCTGATCCAGCTTTATTTTCATTGCTGTTTGTCTGCCGTTCCTGAAGAACAGTTTCACCTTCTTCCCAAGTAGAAGCCTGTGAGCGTTCAAATTCAGTCTGATCCATGTTAGAAATACAGCTTGCCTGAAAATCTTCTCCGTCCCTCTCATTTGGGTCATCTTTGGGAATTGTATTCTCTTTATTGAATTGAAAAGACCTTCTTCTCTTTGCAATGGGAAAAGAGGAATCGGTTTTTTTGCGTTTTCTTTTTGACACCTCTACAAAGAAACAGTAGAAAAAGCAAACCAAAAGATTACGAAAGTAATTCTTTCAAAATCCATCATCTTCATTTTACTTGACTTACAAGGAAACCCATCAAAGGAATTGAAGCACACACTCCCTACGTTCAGAAAAAAGTTCAATCTGTAACCAGCCTGTAAAGACTTACACGCCATATGCTTTCTGGTTCTGCTAACCTTGTTACAAACAAACTTTGTGGTTTTGCCCAACAGAAAAGCCCACCGTGCTTCGTATTTAGGTAAGATTGCACAAAATGTGAGTGAACTCGGTGGCAAGCTTCCCACTCACTCCTGAGACCAGGAATCTTTACAACATGTCATGTGTTCCGATGGAAAGAAGCCCAAGTCTCTTCATGCCCTACTCAAAGGAGCAGGAAGAAATAATGACTGTTCCCCTTCCATCTCTATTTTTATAGCTCCTCACTTTTTCTTCACTGTCACCCTTCAGTTGGAAATAACAGTAAAGGGGTAGCAAGTATTTTAGCATTCTGGGGACAGAAGGGAGGAGAGAAGGAAGAGGCTCTTTTGCATCATTGAAAACGAGCTGAGTATTCAGAAACCATGATACCAAGAATTAGCAATTTGGGAGCCACTCAACGTCAGTGAAGTCATCAAGACCAGTGTTTTGTACCGGTAGGCCAACTTTTTATTTGAACTTTAATTCATAACCGTACTGATGGATGACCTCTGGATTTATCTCACTTTTTGAAGTAAATTCAAAAACATAAAACCACGGGCGTGACAGGTTTCTCTGATGCCTGACTCTTTCTGTCACAATAACACAGGAGATAGTATCAGTGACATTGGCAGGTTCACCCAGAAAGTCTGAATAAATTGCAACTTGCCCTTGGAGACAGGTGTACTGGCATCTACAGGTGTCACTGTCATCTTTGTTTTGTCACTGCCCTCGGCATCTGTTTTCTTACATCCAGGAGCACAGTTTTCCTTTGGCATCACTGTGTAGAAATCTGGAGCATATGTTGAAGAGCTGCAACCTTGCGATAAAGAACAGAAAGCAAAGAAGCCTGTCTTGCATTTTCAGCTACAAATACAGAGACGAGACTTAAAGACTTAAAATCCTGACCCTTAAAACACACACCTCTTTTCTTACGAGATTCTTTAATTTCTTCACAACGTTGTTCTAAATCTTCATCTATCTCTCCCTTCACAATGGAATATGCAGTGTCTTTCAAACTACAAGCTCGGTGCCTAATGAGACGATCTGAAATTTTACAGGCAGAACTTAGTCAGGCAGTGAAACTCTTGATCACAGAGAAAAAAGTTGCTCTGCATTGGTAGTTTCTGAAAAAGGATATCTCAGGAAATACTTTTATTTAC